GAAAATAATGAAAAAATAAGAAAAGCATCTCCATTACCCTAACCTAAGTGGATGCTGACAGACATCAAACCATGGACATTGTTCAGCGGAGGATGATCAGTTGGAAGTGGCCATTCATTTAATCCCACCACAAGACGAGTTGACCCTCCAACAAGGAGGGTACCATAAAGGACCCGTTTACAACCTATCGACACCCTTCGGCAGAACCATTATGCCGCCTGGCGAACGTATTACAAGCAGAAGGAGATTAATGGTAACAGACGATATTGGGGGTGCTTCGTAGCTTCGAAGGGATTCTTTTCTTGCAGCTGGAGCCCACAGTTTCTAAAAGCGTTGGTTTTTATTTCACCCAGGCTGTGAGAGTGGGATATAATTTCGTTAGCAGCTTTCATTTATTTAATGTAAGGCATTGTTATTTTCCGCTATTTCTTAAAGATCTGTTTGCTAAATAAACTAATATTTACACAGAAAAAATAGCATAAAGTATCATTATAAAGCAGAACTGCTAATAGCAGTTTCGATGAATATGTTAACAAGATGCTTTATATAATTAATATTATTGTTCTATACGCTAGATGGCGTGGACACAATTTTCAAACTTATTAATACTCATATGCATAACTTATTAACTTATACGTAAACTCATTAATAATTACTCATAATTATTAATGGCCTTGCAAAAGCTAAAATAGATTTTAAAGATTTCCTTGTTTTGTTTTCAGATTTATACATTTTCAACTATTTTAATTATATGTCATATGCATTCTCTTGACAATCAATCTTCTCCTCAAAAAATTTGCTGACAATTTTTTTTTTTTTTTTTTTTTAATTTAGAAATTCAGTGGCGTTTTCTCTCTCTCCAGATGATACGCTGGTTATTGAAAACTGACTGCTGGATATGCTGGGTTTGGATTCAAATATCAAGAAAGACTTGGATATTTATGATAGTAGGGCTTTTTCGAATGGAAACATTTAAAAATCTGTTAGTCTGAAATTCTTCTTAATAGAAGGGGTGATTGTAGGAGAAGAGGGGGTACGAATCTCTGGAATTGCATCTCTGGACTTCTCTGTGTTAAAAATGAGATGAAGCTTAGACATGCAGGCCTTGTTAAATAATCTTAACTCAATTTATTGTAGTTTGTAAAAAATAATGCTAATGTATGCAACTGCAATTTGGAGAATTAGAAATACTGCATTTAAAAAGCTAATTCCCGCCTAAAGAATGTTTTCCAATGTTTATTCCATGTTTATTTTTAAAAAGGTAGATAAACGAACAGAATAATAAATAAAATTTCATACGGCATGTAAAAATTGAGTCACATGATCAGAAAACAATAAGGGCAATGACAGGTAAACAGATAAAATTGCATGGGGCACCAGACACTTCACTACAGAATAGTACAGGCATTGCCACATTACACTAACCAGCTAGAATACAAAAAATTTGAACTGACTATATGCTATTTCTAAGTAATACTGGAGTTATTACGTTTAAACATTAAGAGCGAAATAACCTAAGATTACATGCAAAGTTATATAAGATACGAAAATATTTGACTGTTCTATTCGAAAGGGAGGGAAAACAATGTGAAATAATAAAAGAGTCCCGAAATTTAATCCTTTTGTGAGGGCGGTATTTGCCTCAAGTTTTGAAAGTAGAAAATGATGCCTTTATATTTTAAAATATCTAACACTGTACTCGGAGTTCTAAAAATACAATTTGCAAGCGTAGGACGTGAGCAAATGCGAGACGTCGGAAGAGGGGGGGGGAAATAAAATTAAAAAAAAAAAAAAAAAAGAACCTATAGAAGGAAATTCTGTCAGCTAACCATTGGCATTTGCCCGATTTCTCTACCCGTACTCTATAATACAAAAGTAACAGGCTAGCCGAACCTACTATCTGATGCAGTCTGTGGAAGGGTGTGCCCTGCTTCGGCTTTAATGGCTCAAAAAGCAAAGTGTTTCGTTCACGCAAAGCCTATCATTGCTGCTCAGTTTTCGCCGTGAAAATCGCCCTGCCGTGGATATCACTCGGCATGACGGGCGGGTAATAGCAGGATCTTTAATATTCAACCTCCTATCGCAACGTCTCATAGTTTGATAAGAAGTAGTAGCTCACCCGTTGAATTATTTAAACTTTACAAATTTGCTCTAAAACGTTTATATCGCCTCCCATCAGTCGGAGAGAAGTTTTATTGATCTCTTTCTCTCTCTATCGTGGTAAAGACGAATATGCAATGCGAATGGTTTTTCTTTGGCAAATGGTCGAGCTAGAAAAGATTAATTCCAGCTGCCAACGAGAAATAAAAAATCACTTCAACTATTAAGAAAAAATCACCTTATCGCTAAGTTTGAAGAGCTTTCACTTTTCGATTACTGAACAGATGACGCTTGAATTTTTATTTTATAAATTTATAATTCGAACAACTTCTGTTCGCTGTTTCTAAAAATCGGAATTATTTCTTTCAATATTATTTGGGTTTTAGTGCCTCGTAAGATGTAATTACGAGTAAAAAGATCATCTGAATAATTGTACGTATATTTAAATACATATATCTGTTTAGCATGACGGGCTTGGCGTGAAAGGAGGAAAAAAATCTGTTTGGAATTCATATATAAAATTCTATTATTGCATATTTTACAAATAATAGTTTATTCGGCAACGTAAATTACATATGTCTTAAAATTGTAAACATTTTGGTTACTGCCACTTACATCATTGAGAAATATCCATATTCACCTCTTCCAAACAAAACAGCATAATTCTTATTCAGAAGTCAAACAACAAAAATCAGCGTAATATTTGCAAAATTTTCACGGGACTAGTTTCGATGGTTTTACCGAACCACCATCTTCAGCTGCAAAACCGCAAAATCGAAACTAGTCCTGTGAAAATTTTGCAAATATTACGCTGATTTTTGTTGTTTGACTTCTGAATTAGTATTTATTCGGCGTGTTATTGTGTCTTAAGCATAATTCTTTTTAAAGGAAAATCATAAAGCATAAAATAAAGGAAATAAAATCTTAACCATTGCTTATAGTATAGTTTATAGAAGGAGGGAAAGATGAGAAAACTTGCGATGCTTGCTTTTGTGCCTGTTTATTTTGGTCACATCTCTCACCAAATCGAAAGGATCGAAGCAAAATAGGAAAATAGAATTTAAGAATCGATATCCAAAAATGGGAGTTATCGTTTCTAGACAACTATTGGCATACAGAAAGACAGCATTTGGTTCTAACTCCAGATGAAAATTTATATCAGAATACTTAATCACAGTAAGTGGCGGAAATGAACCTTCTTCTAAACCTGATAAGGTTTTGGTTTTATATGATTACGGTAAAGCATCAAGGGCTATCTGCCTACGGGGAGGGATGCTATCGTGGCTGACTTTCTGTGTGAAACTGGATCGTATACACGTTACACTAAATCTGATTAGATTAATAAACTTAATTTTATAACATTTTAAAGTATATAACCTGAATATTTTTTGAAATGTGTATATCTAACTTTTAGGAAATTAAAATAGGAATTGACAGAAAAAGCTAAAAGTATTATTTCTGTCTTTGAAAGAAAAATTTTGAGAAATATTTTTGGTGGCATAAAATGTAACAATATCTGGAGAAGAAGAACTAATTCTGAACTCTATAAATGCTTTAAAAAAAATAGGTATAGTAAAATATATAAGGATTCAAAGAATTAAATGGGCAGGACACCTGTGCAGAATGGATGAAAATCGAGTGACTAAAAAGATGCAGGACCATTCGGCACCCGAAAAAGAGGGAGACCTAAACTTAGGTGGCTCGACTGTTTGGAAACAGACTCGAGAATTTTAAAAGTAATCAATTGGATGTCCATGGCCAGGGATAGAAGAGCGAGCTTGGAATTCGATTCTGAGGAAGGCAAGGGCCCATCTTGGGCTGTCTGGCCATTGAAGAAGAAAATAGGAATTAATATTACACACATCTAAATGACTTAATCGCTTATAATTTGCACTATGTATTGTTGCGTTTTTGTTCCCTTTCCTGAGGGTAAAGCTGTATATATGAAAACATAAATATATCATGTTTCTCACTCCATTTTCTTTCGTTTCATTAATAACGTTTAAGCCATAAAATATAAGTATGTATAAATATGACAGGAAGCTGACAATAATTATGAATAGCCTTTGGCGTCTAATTGGAAAATTCATACATTCATAATACCGAATCATTTCTTATTTCGTAAATCAAACTCCGAGGTACTCAATAATAACGAAAAATAAATGATTATTTCTCTTTCGTTATTATTAATAATTAAATTATTAAAAATAATATTATCACTAATGAAAAAAAAAATAAATCAATGTTGAAGCTTTTGGAATTTGACTTAGAAGATCGAGGTTTGAAGAAGGTTTTCCATGCTCGGAAAGTTTTCTTTAGTATAATAAAAAAAAATTTCAATTACAACAAAACAGTTTTTTAAATCCTTTAAAAGTACTAATGGATTTATCTAGGCATTTAATATGAACTTGATGTACATTAAATTTTCATTGATAGATATCTTGTATGCAGCAAATGCTTCATACATTTTATTGTATAGAATAAACGCTGCTAGAAAGATATTTTAGTTTTAACAATAACAGGAGTTTGAAAATTGATTTGCATAGGTTCTTTCTCCAATGAAAGCACATTTTCAGAAAGAATATTTGCTAACAAAGAAACTGTCTGTTTTAAAGTTTGTACCCTATACTATATTTTATTTAGAACATAAAGTACTTAAAATAACGTACTACGTTTTCAATGCAAAATGATATACAAATAAATTATTATTTAATGTTAAACAAAAAGGTATTACATTCAGTTGGAAATCTCATACCGAAATAGAACTCTCTTTGGAATTCAGAAATGTCATGATCACTATTATTGCTTAGCTTTAATCCACAGAACATTTTAAAGCTTTAAATTTTAAATATTGTTTTATTACAGTAAACTTTGGAATTAGAATAGCATAGCATACTTACCATTAGCGTATAGAAGCTGAAGTCTGTAATGAATACCATTGTTTGTTTTCTGACCTTCGGATTCCTACCAAGGAAAGAATTATTAGGTTTTGTTGAAATTTAGTAATATATAAGCATATTTGTTAGAAATAATAAAAGGGAATAATTCATTACAATAAACACCGCAAGATCAATGACATATAAAATGCATTCCAAAATGCGTCTCGAACTTAAAAAAGCAAAAATGAAAAATTATGGTTTGCAGATTTTTAAAACTGATGAATTCCCTTTTAATTAGAGAATAAGAAAAATAACTTACCAGGTTAAAAATTGATAAAAAAAAAGTACCGCATTTCAAATGAAACCATGTGTGCAGAATTAAACAGCATCCTTATATAATTAAAAACCATGTTGCTATTTCAATAGCACTTACTTGCATGTTATGTATATGTTACCGTGAAAGACCGAAATTGGAGAATATCGACTTATTGGAGAATATCACCGGGGAATGTCAACATTCACCAAATACGTCGATGAAAGATCGAATATTGCATTACATTCTTGTACATTCGGACCCTCACCGGTGTATGTCGACAATCACAGATATGCTGTGGTGTAGGTTGAAAAGAGAGGAGTATATGTACACGCTGTCATTGCAAAAGGAAGTGTTCCACAAATAAATGCAGTTGTAAAAGCAAGGGCCTCTTGTGCAATTCAAAGTGTCATAATAGTTTAAGTTGTTGCAATAAATAAGATTTGAATCACGTAATTTAGTAAGTTTTTAACTTCTATTATTTTCCTTTCTCATTTTGAATGTACAGTGTGTTTTAAGTTCTTATGTTCTTAAGTTCTTATTTTAAGTCTCAAGTGCGTTTTTTCGCGACCGAATTACGGAGAAGAAAATGTAATATTCTTATGTGTTCAACATTCACCATTAGTACACGGTGAATGTTGACATTTACCGGTGTAAGTCGGAAATAAGAGTATTTGGAAAATATTTCGGACATACACCAAGCGACTATGTGAATGAGACATTCACCGGTGAAAGTCGACATTCTCCAGATTTTGGTGTTTCACCGTAACATATACATGTGTGCTCTTGTGTACAACATTGTAGGAGAATACATAAGTGCTACAGTAACCTAGAGGTATATAGTGATGAATCCGACTTGTTCAAAACGGCGAAAAATGATTAAATGCCAGATTTTCCACTTTACCATTAAAATATGAAAGTATACGTATGAAAATTAACTTGCATTCATGCCAAATATACGCTCACTCATGTTCATAACAGTATAAATTTGCTGCAATTATTTACAGTAATGAGACCACATACTTTATTATAAATTTCGCTCCCCCATTTATTTCATATTTTAAAAATGATGTTAGTTAATTTCATTTATTATTAATTAAGCACTTAAAAAGTCGAATAATATAAATGAAAGCTGAATCATAGACTGAATTTTGGCAAAAGAAATAACGCATTTTATCGTTTACATAAATACGATAATCATGCATTCAGCCTGTAAAATAAGAAATGAATTCCGTAAAGAAATATTCTACTATTTTTCGATTTTCGAAGACAGTTCAGCGTAACATAACTAGTGATTGGAGTAATTAAAAATTTGTAAGTGGGAATGCTTCTTTGGAATTTTATCTAAACTATATACTTAAATACTGGTCCGATTATCAAAATTTTCAACTCCTGGCAGGATAGCCGCTTTAAGTTTTATAATTTTAAAGTTTAATAATTCCACTGCATACTTAAAAGCGCATTACAAATTCTCGAAACTTTGTAAGTTCACACAACCGCTACTCCAAAATATTCTGCAGATCACCAATTAGTTACATTTTACAGATTAAATGTTTTTATTTCAACTAATTTTAAATTTAACAGGTATTTCAAAAGCAGTTTAAAATCCACAAGTATTCCAAAACATGAGGAGAACTTAGGTCTCCTAATTTAAGACAAATTAGAGAAATAAACTTAAATTGTTAACAGTTGTCATATTCACTGTAACTGAAATTATTATTGATATCTATGTAAAGTGGCAAGTGTCTAGTTCAAAGTGCCGACAAAGCGTTTGAAGTGGCCAGTTTGAACGGACGTTTAGCATACGAAAATGACGCATTTAACGTTGGAAATTGAGCTTAGCCTTCGATAGCGAACAATAAGTTGGCGTCAGAGGCCAGCTCAATATTCCCAGTGCGATGTGGAACACGGTGCTGGGAGCTCATTACTGGGCCAAGCGTCAAGAGGGCTTATTACCGGCTAAGCTATACAGGAGAAAGGACATAATCTGCAATTCACGCTGCCCAAATGGAAAGCTGGAGACTACTTGCGAAAGGACTGTCATTACCCTTTCGCGCGGACTATCCTTATGGGACTGATCCATGTTCCTGGTGGTTGTTATTAATTGTACGACAAGCGAAATCGTTGCAGTTGAATAAAGCTGTATGAATCGAATTCTACAGAGATTTGGTTCGATACTCTAATCAACTATATCGCGACAAATCCTTCCTCCCTCTTTGCTGAGCCATGCACTTAAATACTTGCCCAATTGCCAAGATTTTACAATCATCGTAATAGTTTAATAAGTCAGGCGCTGTTTAAATGCCGATCTTCAGTCCTCTAGAGCATAAATGAAAGATTTAATACATAGTTTAAGTGACAGATTGCCGCGATCATTTAATGGAGTTAATTAATATGTCGAATGCTTTAAACGTTTATCATGACAATTTATTTTGCCGTCAGTAAGCTTCATTGCAGAACTTAAAAGATAAACAGTGTATAAGTACATGCTCTTTTCTCGAACTGCTTTATGGAACGAATTATCGCGTTGGTTTCAAGCCACTAATTCTTCTTACGCGATTCTCAGATACCGGAAAACCCTGTTATTTATTTATTTGCCTTGGTGCATTTTATGTGTTTAAACACAAACTCCATTCTCGAAGAAAAGAACGGTTAATTAAGGTAAAAAGTACCTTAGCGAATCATCATTCGAAAGATATGGAGCTTACTCAGAGAAGTCTTTTAAATAGTGCATTTTATATTTGACACTCGGAAGATGTCATTAAAAAATTACTTTTGTTTTATAAATACATGAATTCTCAATTATTCGAAGCCAGTCTGATGATTAATGAAATATTTAACTGCTATTAGTGAAAAATTGTATATCTTCTTCACAAAATATGAAATAACGTTACAATTTTGTTTTCACATACGGTTTACTAAATTTCATCTATACTCAAGGCTATTTAATGAACATTCTTTCTAAAATAGGTTTTTAAATATTCTTGCTTTACAAAGTAATGAAGCCGTTTCAAAACTTTGTATTAAAATTTTGATTCACAATAGTTGCTTAGCTAAATATTTAATTTAGAGACTTGAAAAATAACGTTTATGGTTCTGCCTCTATTATGGCGATTTAAATAAGTACTTATCAATACAAATGGATTTATGGAGAACGTGGCAATTTCAACTGATAAACTCTGCATTTACAATAAAATATTTTTTTTCCAAAGCCATTGAAAACCCGGAAATGCTGTTTCAGGTAATAAAAGTAGAAATGACTCTGTGCTTGAAAGATTCACATTTATTTTTTATTTTAGGCTAATCTTTGAACTTCAAATTTTAGGAAGCAGTCTTTTTGTTCGTCTTAAAAAGTATTCACACGCTAAGAGGATTGTTTGAAAGCAATTCGTTGCCATTCATTTACTTATAAGTGATTAATCTAGCAATCTTTAAAGTTCTTTTATTTGAGGCTCCCGCTTTTCTTTGCACTTAAAAACCTATAGAAATATTATAACTACTGTGGTATAATACTAGCAGATTTTATTAACTCAATTACTTAAAATTTTATTTATTTTCATCGTATATAAAAAACTTCTATTATTTTTTCTAGTGTGCGTAGTGTTCACATATCATTTTACTTAAAACTTCAGCTAATTTTAGCTCTGTTTTCTTATATAAGTTACAGGAAGCATGTGAATCACTTTCACAACAAACTGAAAAGATTAAATTGATCTTCTTTTTTAAAAAGTAATGTTGATATTGTTTTAATGCCATTTCTAAGTTCTGATAAAGGAGCTCATTTTCTAGGTGACTAAAATTTCTACATCGCTTTCAGAATAAAGAAATTTTGTCTAGAGTTGAATATTCGCGAAATTTGTTGTTCTGTTAATTATTTAAGGCATCGGTTTTGACTCAAAAGTCATTGATATTGAACGAATTTCTTCATTCAGTGCCTATGTCACTTACATGTCATGAAAAAGGAAAACGCTGTTAAAGGACCTCACTTTAATAAAATTTTCTCAAGTTTAAATCAACTTAAAGCAACCAGTCATTCTTCTCATTGGGAAATAAATAATTTTAAACAACGAACATTAGGATTTCAGCTCACATCGTTCGTTTTAGAAACTACTGTCTCCTTGTGATGTAAAATCTGCACTGGGGATCCTTTAGAGTAAAAATTATACTTCATTCGATCTCCAAATGATCTCTTGCATATCATACTTAGGACAGAGATTCATTACCTTCAATAAACCAATTATTTCTTTCATCAGAATAAGTTTCACAAACACAGCAAAATTATTTCTCCATGGATCACATGGCTAGATTTTATTTTTTTAACCAGTATGTTTATAATCAAAATAAGCAGATTTGTTTATGTAAATTGCTTTTATAATTATCAGCATTTACCACATTAGATCGATAGTAATCTAGAATTATATTGGAATCTTATAACTGTATACTAAATTCTTATGCAAGTACTAACTGTGTTGAGTTCAAGAAATAAATTTTTAAAGTATATCTTCGGCATCAATATCAATATGTTTAATCGAAATAGCATTCAGTAAAGCTCAATTCATTTCGATTTCGACACATTTCGATTTAGATTATCCTCCATTCTGTTTCATTCCGATATCACGAATTCTTAATTCATGCTGGAAACCCTTAATATCATTCTAATGCTTACTGAATACAAAGGTAAAATTACAGGATTAAGTATAACTCTGTTTTTTTTTTAATCAAGAGCATATAATAAACTGTTACGTATTGGCAAGTAGTTCTCTTCTAATAAC